TGTATGTATGTATATTTGGAGACAACATGTCACTATATAATACATAGTCTAGGCTGGCCTCAAAATCATGGTGATCCTCCTGCCTCAGCTTCTGAGTTCTGGGATTACAAACGTGTGCCACCACACATGACAACTGTATTAACTTGAAAATACAATGGACGGACTTTCAACTTAATACTTTACATTTAAGAAAAGTCAAAGCCCCCCCCCATTTGCCAAGCACAATAAGCCAAACATGGCAGTGCACACCTGTAATTCTAGCACTCAAGAAGCCAAAAAGCAAGAGGAATGCCTTCAGTTCGAGGACAGCCTAGGCGAGTGAATTCAAGGCCAGCCTGGACTGCATAGTGAGACCACGTCTCAAAAAGACCTATGTACATACATTTATTTTTGGTTTTGAAATGAGAACCAAGACCTGTCGTGTAAAAGTACAAGATCCCAGTAATGAATGTAACTGTACTGTATACCTAGAATGTACCAATAAACTCAATTTAAAAAAAATATTGTTGGTTTTGGAGGAAAGAAGTATGAAACAGATACCAAGGACACACGTTTTGGTATCTGTCCTGAAGAGCTCTCAAGGATTCTCTCAGAACCACTGTATTGTAGTCATTCATTTTGGCTTCAAGAGAGAAAGCCTTCACGTCATAATAAAATTTTACATTTCATGCAAGTATGAATCTCTAAGGGACTAACATTTGTTCTTTCTGGTGTTAGAGAAAAGTGGAAGAACTATTACTCCTACTTTACATAGGCAGACTAAATAGATAAGGACACTTTAAAATTCATTCATTCAACATTTATTTATTGAGTGCCTCCTCTGTACCAGGTATTGGGAGATGCAGAGGTGCACAACTCTCTAAAGTCCTTGCTCTCATGGAGTTTACACTCTACTATAGTTAATTTCAGTGAAAATCAAAACCTTACATTTAATCAGAGTGGAAACGTGGGCAAACAATTCTGTGGAATAAAGAATGAAATACATTAGTAAACAACTTAGAATTTATTTGGAAGTAGGAAATAAAAAGCATGATTTTAACATTTAAAATATTAACAAAATTAGAAAAAGTTAAACTACAGAAAAGGCAGATATTAAAACTGACTTAATGGCTGTATAATACAAATAAGCAAACCCAAGTTTCTCTCATGCAAATAAACACTAAAGAAAATAGTATGGGAATGTTTACAGAACAGGCCACAACTAATGTTAAAGATTTAAATAAGAAACTGTACAGGAATGGAAAAATAAATTAGGTAATTTACAAGAAATGTTTTACAAGTTACACAGGCTATAACTTAGTTTATTATGCATAAAATTTGTAGCACATAATACATTTTTTTACATCACAGGTTCAATGCTAGAAAAATTCAGACATGATAAAGCTTAGATGTTATAAGAACAATGCAAGAGACACAGTAAGGAAACAAAGGGAAACAGCTTATATAAAATTAACCCCCAATGTAAAAGATTTCCTAGACTGGAACATAAAAAACATCTTTTAGACATGGATATGGTCAGTAACTGGGCAGAATTCACTCAACTTCAGTTAAAATGTCAGTTTCACTATAGTTCAAATAAAAAGTAAATCTACACAATGTATAAAAATGATAAAAACAATCTTAACATCATTTCTATCCTAATACCACTAATTCTATACTTGGAGCATGGAGATGGGATATTGCTGTTAGGTTTATACAGTTATGTTTTCTTACTAAATGCCGAAAACTAAGAGAGGGTACCAAGAAACAGTGGCAAATTTCAAAATGGCTTAATATTTGTGATAACTCCTGATCACACTAGTAGGATATCCAGATGAAATTCAGATACAGCATGTAAAGTTAAAATAATCACAAACCATTTTACATTTATGTATACTTTGCTATTTAAAAGTATACACAAACAGTATGTAAATAAAACAAAATAGCACAAAAACATTCTAAAATTGAATTAAGTTGCATATTTACACAATTCAAAATCTGATTTTTATCCTCATTCATGACTGAAAAATACATTCCTCATGAGTTCTTTTAAATGTAAAATTAGGGGCTGGGGATTTAGCTCAGTGGTTCCACCGCCTACCTTGCAAGCACAAGGACCCGAGTTCCATCCCCAGTACCCCCCCAAAAAAAACAAAAAACAAAACAAAAACGTAAAATTAGTGGTAGTTGCAGCAAAAGAAAATCAAAAGGAAAAATATTTTTTTGACCTATGTAAGGAGCTAGAATAGTTTTATTTGGGTTTTTCTTTTTTTGGTACTGGCGATCGAACTTGGGTCTTTATGCTTGCAAGGCAGGCGGTGGAACCACTGAGCTAAATCCCCAGCCCCTTAGTTTTATGTATTCATAAAACCAATTTTCCTTCAGACACATTCAAAGCTAAATTTTGTACATGAAATTCCATTATCAGCTCATTACTATATTTTAAATATGTAGTAATAATATATGAGCACCAGACAAATGTCTAATTGTTCTTAGATAATCTAAGGAAAAAGTATTTTAGGTTTTCAAGATGTTTAATGTCAGTAAGTAACCTATTTCAACTTATTTATATGTAATTAAACATTTGTTTTATACGTAATTAAACATTTTGCCATGAATTTTGTGTTGGATAAAAGCAAGAAATAATTCTACATCTGCTCCCTCTCACAATGATTAGAAGTAAAAAACCAAAACTAATAAACAGATAAAGGGGGCTACCAAAAAAAAGTCTAAATATTCTAGCATCTATGGATTTAATGGGGTATCTTTTCATACAATGAAAAAGTTACAGTAATGCCTGTATAATTGTGAACAGTAAATATTCCAAATGTACACACACGTTTATACATATTTAAACCCTTCATAAAGATGTATCTACTTTGCTACTAACAGAGGTAATGAGAGAATAATGAATCTCATTCTAGGAGTTGGATGAGAATCCAAAATTTAGTACCTATTAATAAAAAGTATATAGTAATTATAAAAATAAGCACTAAAAATTAACTCTAAAACACGACTAAATATTTGAAAGTAGTTTTAGCCAACCCAAACACTACCAAGAATTAAGCAACTGTCTTTCTCAAGATCCTGATGTTCCATTATAATAATTCAATTCTCCCATTTTACAAATGAAATTAGACCAGTGAGTAGAACTACTTGTAAAACAAAACCAAATCATAAGCCCACATCCAAAAAATACATATAGATAATATAAAGCATCCAACAGGGGCTTCTTTGAGAAAACATTTGAATTTTTTTAGATACAGAAATCACTCAAAAGATGTGTCAGAAAGGTGGAATGATGTAATTATCTTTTTACCTATTATTTTGAATGGACTACTCAAATACTTGAAAAAATATGCACTTTTTGGGTTAACTGTTTAGTAGATCAGCAGAATACTTAAAGACATGGGCCAGGGATTTAGCTCAGTGGCACCACGCCTGTCTCACAAGGGCAAGGTCCTGAGTTCGATCCCCAGTACCGGAAAAAAAAAATTTAAGACAACTACTCTCTTAGATATTAAAAATAAACAGTAATATAAAGTACATTATTTTTTAAGATTATCTGACAGAAACAAAGTTGGCTGAATTCCTTCAGTTAGAATAAAATACATTCGAATAAATATAAATTTGGTTAGAAATTAAGACATCATTGACACTTCTTGGCAATCATTATTAATAAAGTTAAGCAGTATTATTACAAAAAAGGCAATATATTTCTATTTTGTTTACATACATCACAAAATAGTTAAATGCAAAATAACTGACACCAATTTTCATCAACCTCTATTATAGCTTTTACATGGCTTAGAAGAATTTCTAAATTACATTCTTAAATGTAATACACTAAAAAGCATAAAGTGCTTAACAGAAAAAAAGAACTAGCCCAAATATGAATAAGAATTGCTTATAACAATTGGAGTGGTTATAAAAGACATTTAGAAGTTATGGCTGGGCTAAGCTTTCCTCCTAAGAATACAACCTTAAAAATCAAGGCAAAATGTACTGGACTACTTTTTGAAGGCAAGAATACTACTGGAAAAAGGAAAACCTTTTCACCAAGCTGCCATCACTCTGCTTATAAGACTGGACTTTCATCAACCGGTATGTAAAACACAGAAATGTACTCTCAAAGGTAAAAATAACTCAGGAAATTTTAGCGAGTCTAATATTTGGCAAATAATTGAAACTTCCTGATGGGCTTGATGTTGTATTACTAGCAACAGCACACTTCATTAAAATTGAGTCCGCCTACTTTCCCACATAGAGTTGCTTTCCCATTTTAGAGCAGCTGAGCAAGGAACAACCTTGTTAACTTACATGGTAAGTCCACTAATATTTCACATTTGAGTATTACCTGGGTGTGGAACTTTTAGCCTTTAGTTCTGAAAGTCTCTAGTGGAAAGGCAATCTTTAGGAGGATGTGGTGGTGGTTCCACATATGGTGATCTTTACTATGCCCCAAAGCAAGCTGTCACTGCACTGGATGTCAACAGGATGTCATTTTTAACCTTTTAAAATGGGCCAAAGTTCGGCTAGAATTTTAGAAGTCATTGGAATCATCTAATTTGTTAGTGAAGGAAATGTATTTTAGAGATTGTCAAACTGTCAGGATGTTTCTCAGGCAACTTTATCAGTGTCACTGGAAAAATAATATATATTCTACATGAAATGATAGGATGCTAATATAGGACATTTTTGGAATTGTCAGAAATACCTTATATAAAATAAACTAACCCAATTTTTAATCCCTTTTTTAAAAAATAAGGTTTCCTTTTTAGTAAGTCCACATTCAGAAAGTTTTTATGAACCCAGAATAGCCTTCACTTTTAAGAGAGAGTTCTAGAAATGCACTGTCCAACTCAGCAGCCATTACTCGTATGTGGTTACTGAGCATTTAAAAAGTGACTGGTCCAAACTGAGACATGTTATAAATGCGAAATACAAACTAGTTTTGAAGACTCAGGTTTAAAACAAATAATTTTTTGCACTGATTACAAGTTTAAATAACATCCTGGAGATACTGAGTTAAAAATACATAGTAAAATGATCTTCACCTGCTTGTTATTTTTTTAAATACACTTATTAGCCCACTGATGGTGTGTGTACCTTTTAGAGCTTTCAATGATACGAACAGTCCTCTTTGGCACCCATGCCACAGGTCTGCCATCACTGAAACAGACCTCTAGAACAGGCTGACTTCAGAACCAAACCTATTTATCACAGTATTTTTTGAGGGAATTTCATGAGTTAAAAGTTAAAAAAAATTGGAATCTTGGCAGCCTTCTGCACAATCCTACATCCTTACAAATTAGTCCAATAATTCTATATTACATATAGAAAAGGCTAAGAGCAATAGTGGCGAGATGGCTGTTCACTTTTCCGTGCATTTGAGCAGATAATTTCAGTTTCAAAGACTAAAACATGAATCACAGATCCATGTTAACCAAAGTATAGTGATCAAATTAACTTATATTCTTTGTTCTATTTCTTTTAAAGACTGCCCTAACCTACTGGTAATGTGGTTTGTCACAGATATAACTTGTAGTTGCCATCATTCAATAAATTCCTACCTGTACAACTACCCTAATCAGAAACATTTAAAATAAAATGAACCAAAAGTATGGCTGATGCAACTACCAGTCACTCCTATAAAAATCTTAAAGCAAGCTATGTGAAGTCACTGTAGGCTTATAAAATAGCTACTGGGCAACCAATTCAAAGTTCCAAGGAGTCTAAATTATAAAACATTACCATTACAAGCTTTCCCCTTAAATATTCTATCCTTTTATTTATATGTTGATACCTTTAGATATAAAAAACTGAATTTTAAATACTTGGCCACAAAACTGGAAAATTACACAGAAAAATGTCTTCTTCACCTCTTATTAGTCTACTGAAAACTGCTCTTTACTGAGCAACACTGGGGCCTGTAAAAATACATGATTAATACTTCCTTTGAAATGTAAACAATTTTTAAGCTCTTCAAAGTACATCTAGATTTACTGGTAATTCATAGAGGTGAATTTCTTCCCAAGTTGTTCTACTTCCTAAACCATAAGCAACAGATTTGAACAAGTTCACTAGCTACTACTGGACCTCTAAAATGTTACTGTCAATGTAAAAGCCTGAACATTTTTATAACATTATAAAAGATGAATTCAAAATAGAGAATAAATTTCAAGGCAAAAGCATTTACAAATTTTGGAACTACAATGCTTTTATTAACAGAATATCTGAAACACTGATGCTTTTGTAATTCTATAATACCGCCTCAGACTCCCACAAAATTTCAAAACACCCATTTAGAACAAATGTGATTCTGTGGCTGTTCATAATAGAACAAAATCTTTAGCCTTCATAGTTCAAATCTAAGAGAAATGTGTAAGTTTAGACCTGAGATAAATGTCAATTCACATAAACCATATTCCTTTTGAGGCCCAAAGACCTCATTACACAAACTGCAAAATAATTAAACCTGCAATTTAAAAACACTATTCTTTTAACATGTTTTGATCAACTCATAAAACATAGAAAGTGTAGTGTTAACAAATATGTGCATTTTCCAGTGATTTTAAAATTCAGGCTAACATTTATGAACAATATTTTAGTTAAATTATACTCAATTAAGTTATGGCATTTGAGGAACGCTGTAATTCTAGGGAAAGATCATATAAACACGCCTTTCTGAGGGAGTATATTAGAAAAACAGTAACTCCTTAACATTTCTAAAATCACACAAAATGATTATTCTTTGATTGCCATTACAATAAATTTTGATAGAGTATGTTACTGTCTGCTCACAACCCAAAACACACATAATACAGACTTGTAACAAATATTCAGATTCAATTATTTTTCATATGTTACACATTTCTCAGATTTTAAGATTTGTGACTGGGTATGGTATAGTACTGCAATGTTGGCTACATAAAATGAATAGAAAATCTTTTTGAGAGGAAGCTCAACAATCAGAGGCTATGGTAGCTCAGTGGTTCTGCCGCCTTCCTCTCGAGTACAATGACCCGAGTTTGATCCCCGGAACAAAAGCAAAAATAATAATCAGAGGCTCAACTACATTTAAGACTGAACACTGGCTATATACAAAAGGAAAAACATTTCAAGGAGAAATACTTCACGTTATAGAGCTCTCACTTTTAGTGACAATATTCACAAGCTTACCATCCAGACATTTGAAACAACAATAATGCTACTCTTTTATCCTTTGGTTCCCAGTGATAAACAATGCAGTGATAAATGTCTCCAGTTTCAGCTCCTTTTATGACATTTATTAGCAGAGAAACTTCTGAAGCTTTAGCTGAAATTTGGCAGCCCAAGAAGAGCACCAACTGCTCCGAAGTACCCCTGTTATTTAAAAAAACTGTTAGTACAGTATAGCTTTTAAATAAGCACACAATGATAACCACTAAGAACACCTATTTATGTACCATAATTGTATTTGTTTAATAACATTTACTTGGATAGTCTGGTATCTCTATACTGTTAGTATTATGAACATTTTTCTTACACTGCACTTTCAATGTACATATGCCCTTGAAATAAGACCATCACACCTTAAAACAGACTATCACAGCAACTACATCCTCTCTCCCCTAAAAAAAAAAAAAAAAAAAAAAAAAAAAAAAAAAAAAAGAAAATAATATAACA